CCCTGGTGGCCTTGGTGTGGCCCTGGCGTGGCCCTGGCACGGCCCTGGTGGCCCTGGTGTGGCCCTGGCACGGCCCTGGTGGCCCTGGCACAGCCCTGGTGTGGCCCTGGCACAGCCCTGGTGTGGCCCTGGTGGCCCTGGCACAGCCCCAGTGGCCTTGGTGTGGCCCTGGCGTGGCCCTGGCACGGCCCTGGTGGCTCTGGCACAGCCCTGGTGGCCCTGGCACAGCACGGGCGCGATATCCCGAGGACACCGAGCGCAGCAGTGGGTGCCTGCCCAGCACTCCCCTCACAGCAGGAAAATCACATTTTTAGGCAAGTGAAGCTCTCAGCAGGCTCGTTTTGGGTAGTTCAGCCTCAGATTACGTTTGGGTTCAGCTAAATCCTTTCCATCAGGTGCTGCAGGCCGAGCACCCTGAACTCCAGAGCACAATTCTCCTCGCCCAAAACAGCCCCTCACCTCCCAAAGCTGAGCCTGTCTCAGGTAAAATACAGCATTGTCTCTCTGATCATCTCCTCCTTTCATGTTTTGTTCCATCTGTTGATGGGAAAATGAGCACTTTTGTCTTTGGGAAGCTCTGCACCTCTGGAGCCCTGGGAATCCCTCCGGACTCCTGTAGGTTAAAACAGGCCTGGCTCCTTCTGGTGCTGCTGGAAATTGTCAGGATTATTTCAGTACAATTTCACAACTCAGTCCTTTTGTTCCCCTCGCTTTTAGCAGGGACAGATTATTTCTCATGGCAGGTAAAATTCCAGCCAAGGCTGTCATTCCCCACAGGAAGCCAGAAGTTAATAAAAAATAAAAATAAAAGGCCATTTTCTTTCTTACTTCTAAGGTTTTTGGGAAGGAGTATGACAGCAAAGCCACCCCCTAAGGCAGGAATTTGGGGCTGGCTTTTTTCTTTCATACTCCCAGTTATGACAAGTGCTTGGACCCCAAAATCCACCCCTCACACACCAGAGCAGATCCACCCGTACCTCAGGAAATTTGCTTTTCCCTAATCTGCTTCTGGAGTCTGCAAAGTGCTAAAATGATCTGAGGCCGGGGGTTTGGAAGAAAACAACACTGTTACAGATCAGAACCTGGTGTGAGAGGGTTTCAAAGCAGCAAGGATGAAGGCAGGCTCTCCAGAAGGCTGTGGTGAGCGTGGGGAGAAGGGCAAGGGAGCTGAAGTCATGGTGGACCCATCCACTTATGGAAATTGCTTATGGAGCACCATGAAAACGGAGAGAAATCAAATTTAAAGGTGATCAAACTAAAAATGGAGCTGAGGTGGTGATTTCAAACCCGTTGGCATAGTGCAGTTGAAAAAGGAGGGCGCACTTTGGTGCTTACACAGAGAGAGGAAGGTTTCAACAAGCACTGCAGAGCACAGGGAGGAGGAGCAGGATGGAGCCACCTTTGGCTTCTTCTACAGCCAAGTCCAAGGAGGTAAAGCAAGAGCTCTGTAAAATGCTGCAGGTTTTACAAGTGGAATGGCAGGTAGAAAAGGACACTGGTCTCGCGTCAGTGGCAGCCCCAGTGTTAGGAGACAGTCTAGGCTTCTAGGAGGAGAAAATAGAAGAGAGGAGAAGAAGTAGGAGAGGGAAAGGGGATGGGGAAGGGGGCAAGAAAGCGCAAGTCATTAGTAAACATCACCATGGAGGCAGCACTGCACAACACCAAACACTTCATTAGTGCAGCCAGGAGATTTGCCAGAAGCCAGGTTAGACACACACACACACACACACACACGAGTTGTGCTCTCAGGGCTGGCTGGGGATGTGCCAGCAGCCACCACAGGAGCCACACTGGGCTCAGTGTCACCACCAGGGACAGGCACACAGAGCAGCACCTCAGCACACACAATTTGCACTGAAAACAAAATATTTCTGCCAGTCCTGGGTGACACAACTCCCCCAGCAGGGATATTTCCCTAGGGAATTTCTCACCTGCCAGCATCTTGGGCAAGAGGCATCCAGATCAACCACGAGATCGTCCTGGATGGATTGCTTTCCAGAAATTTGATTGGGTTTTATTTGAAAATTTATATTTCCTTTGAACTCTAGGCAAATATCCTGCCTAAATAAAAGAGTTGCAAATTGAAAATTACGCATTAATTTTTTGGTTCTGAACCTTGGTTTGAGTAAGCAATCCCTAAGCTTTGCCTCGTGGAGGTGAGCACCTCCTCCCAGCAGGGACTGCAAACCAGCACCGAATTCCCCTGGAACGCTGCTCCAGCCTCTCCATTTATCCTTTTAAGGAAGAACAGGATTAACAGCGAGCCTTCCACGGGATGTGCCCAGCACCCAAAGCCAGATCTCCCCTCTGCAGCTCTCAAATTCCCAACAACAAACCCCACAGGGCCAGACAGCGACGCTCACGTCGGGCTCAGCGCTGCCAAGGACTCGCAGGAGCTGCCAGGGTCTCCCTGTCTGAAATCCTGGCCCAAACACAGCCCTGCAGCAGGGCTTTGAACACAGCACTGCCAGATGAAAAGAATTCAGCACTTGATGGAGGGTTTGGCCCCGAGCTGCAGAGGTTTGGGTCGCTGCCATCTGCCGCGCTCTGGGTGTCTGGGAGCGGGCACCGCTGCCAAGGAGTGCCAGGAGCTGGGTCCTGACCCATCCCAAGCCCACGTGGCTGCAGACAATGCTGCACGTAATAAAACAAGGTCAATCATCACCTTGTTTCATCTGATGAGTGAAGAAAACCATCCAGCAGTGCTTCCTGAGCTCCAGCCCGGAGAGATCCACGTGTGGGTTTGCAAATAGCTCAACCAGCCCTGATCCTTGGAGTCTGTTTCAGAATCAACTTAAAGCCAGTTCTGCTTTTTAAAGCTCTCTCTGTAGCTTTTAACACTGGTTTTTGTAGCAAAAAGCTGTTTTGTCTGAGCATCACCTTCCTCAGTCCTCTCCTGGCTGCTCCATTTCTCTGCACTGGGCTCACATTCCACATCCCTAAGAATCATCTCAGCTTTCAAATGGGAAATGGAAATGGATCCATTTCAGGGAATGGATCCTGCAGGAAACAAAACCCCCAAACTGGAGGTGCTTTAGGGCCAGGGGTGTGGGATTTAGGCAGCAGCACCCCCTGAACGTGGCACTGCTCAAGGCCATCCCCTGGTGCAGGTGGGTGAAAATCCAGCTTTTCTCCCTTCTCTCCCGTGGAGAACCACAGATATTGCAAGAATTCCACAAGGAAGGGGGTAGAGAAAGAGGCCATGAAGGAATTGTGTCATGTAAATCTTCTGTTAACTCTGGCAAACCTCATTAACTTGATGGCCACTCATCCTGACACGCTGCTCTGCCACTTTGATGTCACTTTTAGACAGACTTGAACAAGAGGAAAAAAAAAAAAAAATCAACTCTACCCCACAAAGAGGGAATTTATTAATAAATTAAAAAGCTCCAGACACATAAAAGTATCTTTGATCAAAGTTGTTAACATTTAGTGTGAAGAGTTAAACCTCCACAAAGCAAGAGTGAGGCAAATAACAAAGAATTTTTTAAACACAAGCCAGAAGTTCAATACAGAATTCCTGATGCCTTTAATTATTCAGACCATAAATCTGATTGCATTTCTAGCTCTTTTAGCTGTAAGTATTAAAGAAGAAGGAGGAAATATCCTTAGGAAGGTTCAGAAGTGTTCTTAATTTCAGTTTATACTGAATTATAGAAGATGCACAACGTCCTTTTGACCGGATTTCCAACGGCAAATGAAGCACAAAGATCAATTTTTCTATTCCCATCCTCACTAAGGACATGAAACAAATCCAAACTCTAAAATTCTAAAGAGAATTATGTTTTAATTCATCCCCATCTCCCAAATGTTCCTCATTATTTCCTGAACTGGTTTTTAACTTGGGCTGCACCTGTGGATTAGGAGGGATAACCCTGGGAGCACCCAAACTCAGCCATGACCTGGAGATCATCACAAGGGACACCAAAGGAAGTCCTTACCCAGGCCAGGGTGACAACAGACCCTGGAATATTCCATCCCCAAGAGAAGAGAGGTGCCACAGGCAAAGGCCTCATGGCAGAAGGGATCAGGTGGGCTGGAATTTGGTAGGAACCCAAATTCCCAGTCAGAAAGGCTCAGTGTTCACTATGAACTGTGCCTCAGAGACGAGCAGCCTCAGCATTTCAGCCTGACTGAAAAAAGGTCAATTCTTTTCCATGTTCTGCACAAGTCTGAAATATTGATCCAGTTCCATCCCAAACTTCTGGCAGTCAAAACTACCCTGATGCAACAGGAAAAGGTTCCAAAGGCTCGGTGTCACCTGTGTCACTGCTGGGGCAGGTGTGGGGACGTGTCCACGGAAGGGGAGGTTGGGGTGGAAGGACACAGCTGGGTGATGGCAGTGAATAAAAACTGCTCCAAAGGATGGGGGATGTGGGAAAACACCACAGTGGGTCTCAGGGGGAGTCACAGGACAGGGCACAGCTCACCTCTGGATGTTATGGGCTCTCTACAAATCCATTTTGATCAGCTGCCTTCCCATGGATAAAGAACAGCACATCCTCAGATCAAGCTTTTATCCAAAGAAGCTCTTTAAACTCCCAAGGAAGTGAAGCTCTTATTTTGTTGGAAATTCTTTGACAGCCCATTAAAGCCAACCCCAGCCCCCTGGGAGGAGTGGGGACTCCAGAGCAGAGGGATGTGACCCCGGTGCTGAGGGACAAACAGGACGTACCTGTGCCGTGACCCTGCAGCCCGTGCTCGCCGTTCTCCACCACCATCGGCCCAGAGGCTGAGGAATCTGCAAGAAATCGAAGGAAGGGTTAACATGGATGGAATGAATCTTAATCCAGAGCTTGAAAACAACACTGTGAAACAACAGAATTATTGAGGTTGGGGAACGAGCTCCAAGATGGAGCCTCAGCTTTGATTGATCCCCACCTTGACACCCAGGTGATGCTAAAACTAACAAAAGGAATGATCAATTCCAGCCTTGAGAGAACACTCACAGAATCCCAGGATCACTGAGGTTGGAAAAGCCCTCTGGGACCATTGAATCCACCCTGTGCCCAATCCCCACCTTGTCCCCAGCCCAGAGCCCTGAGTGCCTTCTCCAGGTGTTCCTTGGGCACCTCCAGGGATGGGCACTCCAAACTTCCCTGGGCAGCCCCTCCAAGGCCTGAGCCCCCTTTCCATGGTGAAATTCCTGCTGAAACATCACAAATTGTTAAAGCAGGCATCAGGGAAGATTTAGAGGAGGGTGAGTCAGGGTGGGAAATCACCAACTCCAAAAACCAGCGCAGAAAATCCTGATCACTGTGACATCCAGTCCATCCTGCTCTGACATTGCCAGCTAAAATTATAACCAGCACCAGGATTTACACACTGAAATTTGCAGCAGTGGACAAGGGGGAACAGTTTGAAGCTGTTCACTTAAGATTAGATAAAATCAGTTTGATACAATGAGGTTGTTGCTCAGGTGCCCAGAGCAGCTGTGGCTGCCCCCTGGCAGTGCCCAAGGCCAGGCTGGATGGGTTTGGAGCAGCCTGGGACAGTGGAAAGTGTCCCTGCCATGGCTGGGGTGGCTCTGGATGATCCTTAAGGTTCCCTCCACCCCAAACCAGTCTGGACTCTGTGACTTTATGACCCTGAGCAGTTCTGGTGAAGCAGAACAAGCAGCACCAGCCCCGACAGCAGCTCCTCCCTGGGCCCTCAGCTCTGCTGACAGAGAGGAAATGTTCATTTTATAAATAATAAAGGTTTCTCCTGAAGAGACACACACTCAGTCACCTGGAGCTGCTGCTGGCCCTCCCTGAGCCTCAGTTTTATAACAGAGCCACGTAACCAGGGTCCCTCAGGGCTGAATCCAGCCCTCAGCAAAAGGAAAAGTCTTTCCAGCCACATCAATGGTTCATCTTGGTGTTTTATAAAAATTCCCCTTCAGCTTGGCAGTTTATAGAAAAACACACCCCTGCATCCTCCTGGAGGAGCTGGGAATAGCACAGGGGTCCCTGGAGCTGCTCCTCAGCAGTTCCACACCCAGCTCCAGCTGCGGGGCTGGACAAGGGATGGTTTCTGCAGCAGTAACTGGGGGAGGTCCTGGCAGTCCCTGGATGCCCTGAAATCGGGGTCAGTGTGGTTCGTACAACCCTGAGTCACAGCTCAGAGGCACACAGGGAGTACCAGGCTCCTGCAGTGACATCCCTGAGGAGCTGCACAGCTCCTGCTGAACCCCCAGGGCCAGGAGCCACACAATTCCTTAAGTCCTGTAGAACCATGGAATCTCCTGAGTGGGAAGGAACCCACAAGGATTATCCAAGTCCAGCTCCTGGCCCTGCAGGAGACAGCCCCAAGATTCCCTCCGGGATCACATCCTGCTTCCATTTCTCTCAGAGCTGCTCCTTACAGCTTGCACAGGCTGGGATTACACCTTGAGCTGCTGGGATGTTTCAGTCTGCTCCTGATGTTCTGGACAGCAGCAGGAATTTCCCCATGGAAAAGGGGGCTCAGGCCTTGGAACTGCCCAGGGAGCTTTGGAGTGCCCATCCCTTCCCTGGAGGTGTCCCAGGAATGCCTGGAGGTGACACTCAGGGCTCTGGGCTGGGGACAGGGTGGGGATCGGGCACAGGGTGGATTTGATGATCCTGGAGGATCCTGGAGGGCTTTTCCAGCCTCAGTGACTCTGTGACTCTGATGCCACCACCATTATTGATGCATTAAACCAGGACTAGACCACAAATGTGGCTGAACCCCTCCAGAGTGGGTTCCCAAAGGAGCAGGAGGATCAGAAATGCCACGGCTCTCCTTGGGAAGGATGCAGAGCAAGTAAAATTGTTCCCTTTACAATTTTAGATTTTTGGGAAGACAAGCTTCCAGAAAAATCAGGTCAGATCACACCAACTCCAGCCAGCACGAGTGGTTGTTATTTTTAAGTCTCTGAAGGTCAGTGCCTTTGGAGCAAATCAATCTGAGTTGGGTTTGCTGAAGCCCCAGTGTGAAAGCACCCAGCAACCTGCCCAGGGCCAGGGCTCCTCCCCTCATATTCTAAATTGCATAAACCCAAAACCATGTCAAGATGTTGTAACTACCTAATCCTCATCAGAATCACAAGATAGTATTTGCATCTGGCTCGTGGATCAAAGGATTGTTTTTATATAAACAAATTTAAGGCAGCGCTCGCTAAACCGATAATCTGGAGCAAATGGGCAGTGCCAACGTAACCCCCCCTAATCCCAGAGGGAACACACAGGGGACACCACCACGGCCAGCACGTCCCCAGCACGGCACCTGAGCCTGCTCTGAGCAGGGATGGCCCAGCTGAGGGCAGGGAGGGCTCTGGGCAGCCCCTGGGGTGGTGCTGGGGGTCAGGAGTCCTCGGGTGGGTTTTATCACACGCTGCTATTCCAGGGGGAAACGGGAGCAGAAGTGCTGCTGGACAGAGTTTGAAGCAGATGGTGACTCTTAAACAAGGGGTTTCATCTCCTTCCACTCATTCATTTGAATATTCTGCCTCAAAATCACCTGCAGAGCTGCCCCAGGGCCAACAGCACAGGAACCTGGAGCTGCTGGAGATCCAGAGGAGGCCCTGGAGCTGCTCCAGGGCTGGAGCCAGGCTGGGAGAGCTGGGAATGTTCCCCTGGAGAGGAGAAGCTCCAGGGAGAGCTCAGAGCCCCTTGCAGGGCCTGAAGGGGCTCCAGGAGAGCTGGAGAGGGACTGGGGACAAGGGATGGAGGGACAGGACACAGGGAATGGCTCCCACTGCTTGGATTTTGGGATATTGGGAAGGAATTCCTGGCTGGGATGGAATTCCCAGAGCAGCTGGGGCTGTCCCTGGATCCCTGGCAGTGCCCAAGGCCAGGCTGGATGGAGTTTGGAGCAGCCTGGGATGGTGGGAGGTGTCCCTGCCATGGCAGGGGTGGAACAGGATGAGATTTCAGGTCCCTTCCAGCCCAAACCAGTCTGGGATTCTGTGATGTAACAAATGTGGGGCAGGAATGGGGCTGGACAGACTCTGAGGGGGAAAAGGTTTAACATCTCATCTGAGACAAAAACACAAATATCATCATCTGCTGATCAATCTTTGATCCCTCTCAAACTCTGAAGTGTGTGGAACATTCTCCATCTCCTCTTTCATGCCTGACCAAGTGTCTGAATTCCCTTTGGCTAAAGCAAATCCTGCAGCAAGAAAGGCATTTATTTATTCCTGGTGTTGGGAAGGGAGGGAAGAGCAAAAGGAGAAGTGGTTTGGGCTCGGGTTTCAGCTCTGGATCTGCGGGGAGGGAGCGCAGCAGCGTCCGGGCAGTGCTGGCAGAGCCATCTCGTGGTGCCACCTGCGGCCCCAGAGCCACTGCTGAGAATGATTCAGTTAAAGCATCCTCATCCCTCGGGCTGGAGTCCTGCAGGGAATGGGATCATTCCCAGATCCCATGGGAACGGGGTCCCTGGGAGCCACCCAAGCCTGCCCCGGGCCTGTGCGGAGCGGAATGCAGGGGAATAAAATGAATAAAATGAAATTAAATAGAATTATAGAATAATGAAAAGAGAGAGGGGGATTGCTCAGCCTGGAGCAAAGGAGGTTCAGGGGGAATTTCTGGCTCTGCACAAGTCCCTGCCAGGAGGGGACAGCCAGGGAGGGTCGGGCTCTGCTCCCAGGGAACAGGGACAGGAGGAGAGGGAACGGCCTCAGGCTGGGCCAGGGGAGGCTCAGTTGGAAATTGGGAATATTCCTTCCCCAAAAAGGCTCTCCAGCCCTGGCCCAGCTGCTCAGGACAGGGTGGAGTCCCCATTGCTGGAGGGATTTCAAATCTCTGTGGATGTGGCACTTGGGGACACGGTCAGGGGTGGGGGACAGGTGGGCTCGATGGGCTCTGAGAGCTTTTCCAACCTCAACAATTCCCTCACTCTATGAATAAAACCCAAGGGGAAGCTGTGATGCCCAAAGCTCTGGGTAGCAGGCACTGACCCGTGCCCAGCAGCTCCCAGCCAGCTGCCCCAGTTTGTACTGGGCAGGATGTTCTGTACTGGGGGATGTCCCTGGGGCCAGGTGGGATCAGCTCTCCTGGCCATGCCCCACACCTCCCAACAGCTGCTCCCTGCCTGAGCTGGGAAAGCAAAAACTCCTGGATCCAGAGTGGGCAGGGCTCAGGAACAACCAAACTGTGCTCCTATTCTCACAGCCAGCTCCAAACACAGGCACCATGGAGAAAACTGACTCCTTCCCAGCCTGGATCAGGACAATCCCCCCCATAAAAAACCTGGATTCAAGGTTAAACTCACCAAGGAGTTTGTGAGCGGTGCAAGAAGACAAAACACAGGGACTGAGCACGAGGCCACCATGTTCCATCAGCACAGACCTGCCCTTTGATCTGTGTTCACATTCCCCAGCAGGAACACAATTCCCACCAGGAACAGAATTCCCACCAGGGACACAATTCCCACCAGGAACACAATTCCTCACCAAGAACACAATTCCTCATCAGGAAGACAATTCCTCACCAGGAACACAATTCCCACCAGGAACACAATTCCTAACCAGGATCACAATTCCTCATCAGTAACACAATTCCTAACCAGGATCACAATTCTTCACCAGGAACACAATTCCTCATCAGGAACACAATTCCCTATCAGGAACACAATTCCCCACAATTCCCACCAGGAACACAATCCCTCACCAGGATCACAATTCCCATCAGGAACACAATTCCCCACAATGAACATAATTCCCTATCAGGATCATGATTCCCCACCAGGATCACAATTCCCTATCAGGAACACAATTCCCCACAATGAACATGATTCGCTATCAGGAACATGATTCCCCACCAGGATCACAATTCCTCACCAGGATCACAATTCCCCACAATTCCTCACCAGGATCACAATTCCTCACAATTCCTCACCAGGATCAAAATTCCCCACAATTCCTCACCAGGACCACAATTCCTCACAGAATTCCCACCAGGGACACAATTCCCACCAGGAACACAATTCCTCATCAGGAATACAATTCCTCATCAGGAACACAATTCTTCACCAGGAACACAATTCCCACCAGGAACACAATTCCTCACCAAGAACACAATTCCTCATCAGGAACACAATTCCTCACCAAGAACACAATTCCTCATCAGGAACACAATTCCTCACCAGGAACACAATTCCTCACCAAGAACACAATTCCCACCAGGGACACAATTCCCACCAGGAACACAATTCCTCACCAAGAACACAATTCCTCATCAGGAAGACAATTCCTCACCAGGAAGACAATTCCTCACCAAGAACACAATTCCTCATCAGGAAGACAATTCCTCACCAGGAAGACAATTCCTCACCAGGAACACAATTCCCACCAGGAACACAATTCCCACCAGGAACACAATTCCTAACCAGGATCACAATTCCTCATCAGGAACACAATTCCTAACCAGGATCACAATTCCTTACCTGGAGCACAATTCCCATCAGGAACACAATTCCTCATCAGGAACACAATTCCCACCATGGCCACAATTCCCACCAGGAACACAATTCCTCACCAAGAACACAATTCCTCATCAGGAACACAATTCCCTATCAGGAACACAATTCCCCACAATTCCCACCAGGAACACAATCCCTCACCAGGATCACAATTCCCATCAGGAACACAATTCCCCACAATGAACATAATTCCCTATCAGGATCATGATTCCCCACAAGGATCACAATTCCCTATCAGGATCACAATTCCTCACAATTCCTCACCAGGATCACAATTCCTCACCAGTAACACAATTCCTAACCAGGAACACAATTCCTCACCAGGATCACAATTCCTCACAATTCCTCACCAGGATCAAAATTCCCCACAATTCCTCACCAGGATCACAATTCCTCACAATTCCTCACCAGGATCACAATTCCCATCAGGAACACAATTCCCCACAATGATCATGATTCCCTATCAGGAACATGATTCCCCACCAGGATCACAATTCCTCACCAGGATCACAATTCCTCACAATTCCTCACCAGGATCAAAATTCCCCACAATTGCTCACCAGGACCACAATTCCTGGTCCTCACTTCAACTAAAACATTCCCCACGACCTCTGCTGCACCTGGTTAACCCCCAATGTTTTCCTTTCCTTTGGAATGTGCTCCCACCTAAAATCCTTTCCCCCTCACCTACACCCCATCACGAGCAGCTGAAGGGAACTGCTGCTGCCATCCCTTGCTGTTATGAAAAAAGCCATCAGAGGATTATCCCAGAATTTGCCAAATTACCATGTCCAGCCAGGTGTGAGGAACAGTAAAGCCATTTCTCCCTGGTATTTTTTAAGTTAACCATTATTAAAGATTTGTTCTAGGACAGATTTGTAGGGGAGCAAACAACTGCTCATCACACATCCCTGCCTTCCACCCCTCTGCAGCCCCATGCTGGAGCCCAGCTCAGCTTTAAACTCGCCTAATCTGGCTCCTGGGTTTAGGAAAAAACCTGAAGGAAAACCCTGGAGCAGAGCTGGAGCAGCTAAAGCCTGACAGGATGGAGGATTGAGCCTCTTCTGAGCAGGGAAAGACAATCTCAGGAGCACAGACCGAGATGTCAGAACACATTTGTGCCTTTTAACATAAATAAATGAACAAGTGGAGGCTGAAAAGCCTGAGCTCTGCAGGCTGCTCCTCTCCCTCAGGAAAGCCAGGCTGCTTGGATCCAGGGGTGTGGAACTCTTGCTGCTGCTCCCCAAAATCTTGGTGTTACACTCAAACATGGAACAACACCACCAAGATCCCCTTAGGACCCTGTAAATCTCACCCAGCCCTCATTTATTCTGGAGCCTCAATAAATGAAGCTCACTCAGCTTTACTATCTTTTTAAACAGTGACAAATATTAAATAAATTCCATGGAAGAAATAGAAAAAACAAGTTAGAGAAATGAAACATTCCAGGACCAAATCCTAAGCCTGGCCTGTTTTAGGCTTCAGTGCTTTCCTGTTGGGACAAGGTGGGAAAGCTGAGCAACTCCAGGAATTCCTTGGGCACCTCCAGGGATGGACAGTCCAAACCTCCCAGGGCAGCCCCTGCCAGAGTTTAACAACCCTTTCCATGAAGGAATTCCTCCTGGAATTCTGCTTTTTCCCCCCCAGAATTTCTGCCTGAGCTTTGCCCACAGGAGCCAGCCTTTCTCTCACAGAGAGTTTTAATAACTGAGCAAACCCACGAGGCCTCATTACCCCCACCAAGATCCTGGAGTGATGTGAAATAATGAGTTGGGATAGCAGTGTCCAAGGATACATGGCTGGGAGGACACACTTAAGGGATTTGTATTTTAAACCAATATTGTGTAATGATTTTAGCACTGAGAAATCCTGGTGCTGAGAGGGTTTAGGATCTGCAGCTCCCACAACAAAGGATTGCTTTAAAATATCCTCAAATCATAAACAAGGTGTTAACAAGTCCTCGTGTTTCTCTGCCTCTGCAGTGCTAAAATGGAAATGAAATAAATAATGCACATCTGAACTGGCCAAAATTCTAAGTTTTATAATAATCTCTTTGTCCATTCCCATCTTTCCTGATGGTTTGGTGCCATTTAACAACTGTGTCAGCATGGAAAAGTCCAAGTTACATCTCCTGTTTCACAAGGCACCCCATGCACTTCTAAACAAAGCAAATAAATGCCTGAAACAGAGCAGAATTCCCCATGCTGTGCTCCTGGAGGTTCTGTTTATTCTGAGGAATCACACCTCACCTTCCTCAACACTGATGAGCACCAGGATTAAGGCAAAAACTTCTTCTGAAGGAAGTCATCAGGTTACCAAGGGTTTCCTCTTCTACACAGCACAGATCAAGGCCACAAAACAAATAAAATCATCAAGGCACTGCTTGTCCCAGGTGACAATTCCCACTTGGGCAGGGAGGGAACAGCACACAAGCAAAGGGAGCAATAATTCCAATTCCTCCCTGGGAAAAAATCCCAATGGATGACCCCCAAACCTTACTCTTTTCCCTTTCATACAGGAAAGCAACTGTTTAAAACTCTCCTTTTCCTAAAGAATTTTTGATAACACTTTTAACACAAATAAATTGGTGATGTTCCACCTCAAACTCCTGGGGCAGTTCTGGTGTTCCCAGGTCCAGGAAAGATCCTGAGGAGAAAGGGAACCTGGGGAAGGGTCTGAGGCAGCTGAGGGAGCTGGGATGGGGCTGGAGAATTCCTGAGGGAGCTGGGAAGGGGCTGGAGCCCCAGGAATTCCTGAGGGAGATGGGAAAGGAGCTCAGCCTGGAGCAAAGGAGGCTCAGGGGGAATTTCTGGCTCTGCACAAGTCCCTGCCAGGAGGGGACAGCAGGGGAACAGGGACAGGAGGAGAGGGAACGGCCTCAGGCTGGGCCAGGAGAGGCTCAATTGGAAATTGGGAAAATTCCTTCCCCAAAAAGCCCCTCCAGGCCTGGCCCAGCTGCCCAGGGCAGGGGTGGAGTTGTTGGAGGGATTTAAATCCCTGTGGATGTGGCACTTGGGGACACGGTCAGGGGTGGCCTTGGCAGTGCTGGGGGAGCTGCTGGGTTTGATGATCTCAAAGATCTTTTCCAGCCTTAATGATTCCGTGATTCTAAATATCAGCTGGGCTGGAAAAGTGTTCAACAGCACGTTTTGGTACCATGCACATCCAAAAGAAACACAAATAAATAAAACCCTGGATCAGAACCATGGGATTTAGCTGTTAAAACATTTGGAGTGAAGCTCCCAGACAGATGATGAAGATTCCCTTCTGCTGACCTCACCACCCACCTTTCTTCCTTGGATTTGCCATCCCTGGAGTGGTGGCACCTTGCACAGCTCTGCTGTTTTGGGACACTGCTTGTGGAGCATGGCAACCACAAAATTTGCTCAACGCTTTCTCTGAGAGCTCCAAAAGCCCCCAGCCTCAAACATTACTATAAAACAACAAACAGGGTTTGATCTTTGTTTGAAACAAAGCACCAGAGGAATTCCTGTCTCGGCAGCATCACGGTGAGCGCAAGCATTCCCTGATATCTGACTTTTTGGGACACTTACGTTCCACGGGAATCCCATCCACGTGGCTTTTGCTTTTGGGTTCCTGGCTCCCAGGCTTTGCATCATCCTCATCATCCAGCAGTGGCACATAGTCTGTCTTATCCACCGTCTCTCCAACCACGTCATCGAATTTCTCGGCCTCCAGCGTGGCGATGAAATCCCGTTTGACCTCGTCCTCGACGTCGTGGGGCGGCTCCGTCAGCGCGTCGGCCAGGCTCAGGTTGTGGTCCAGGTCAGCCATGCCTGAGCACCAGGGAGACAAGGAGACATTTCAGCAGAGATCTCTCCATTCCCTTCTGTGAAAAACGATTTGTATATTTTTTATAGAATTTAGGAGCAGGGAAGGGGCAGGGATGGGGCAGGGAATGAGCAGGGAATGAGCAGGGAATGAGCAGGGAATGGGCAGGGAATGAGCAGGGAAGAGGCAGGGAAGGGGCAGGGAAGGGGCAGGGAATGAGCAGGGAATGAGCAGGGAAGGGGCAGGGAATGAGCTCCTGGTGCTCCAGTCATGTCCCATCCACAGGGCTGCAAGAGCTGCTGGGTCCCATTTGTGAAAAACAAGGTTCACATAATTTTATAGAATTTAAAAGTTTAATAAAAAGACAATTAGGAGATAAAAAAAATAAAGTAAAATATACAGATACAGCTGGGTGTCTCTGCATTCACCTCACTGACAAAGGATTGTCCCTTAAAAACAGAACCCTGCTACATATCCATAAATTCTCATACATATTCAGACATTCTCTTTAGGATTTTTGGTGTTCCTCTGTTTAGTTTTTCCTTGCCCCCCCTCCCAATAGATCAATCTTCTTGGTGTCACTGGGTTTTTTGTCCTTTGATAACAGGAGCTATAAATTTTTCCTTTGGAGGGCTTGAAGGATTGCTTGTCTTCATCTGGACAAGATAATCTTAGGATGCAGGGGGGTCTCTGACTATTTTCTTTTTTAGTCTCTGGGTTATATAAACAAAAATTAGTTTAATATCATGTTACAGCCTAACATAAATGTATTATATCACTATTTCTAAGTTTCAGCAATAACAGAAATAAAGGAAACTATATTAATACAACAAAATTTTCTAATCTTATATATATTTATTATAATATTTGTGAAAGGCCAATAATATGATATCCATTCATAACACTTCACTTTGGGGCTGAGCCTTTACACCACAGGAAACCTTGGGTGCTCAGTAATTCCCAGATGTTTCTAAACAGAAATAAACCGGGATCAGCTAAAGCGGGTTTAGCTGAATGTTCCATTTCAAGAGGTCTTTTAGCAGAACCTTAAATAAAAAAATGTGAAAAGCAAAAGCCCAGTACCTGGCCAGGATGGCCATGGTGTGCCCCAGATCTGGAGTTAATTACACCCCTCAGATAAATGACGCAAGAGAATTTAGTGCTGGGCTTGACTCCACCCAGGCTCCCCTATGGAGATTAGGATTTTACATAATCTCTGATGTATACTTCAGTGCTGCTCCTGATCCCTCCCAGAGGGTCCTGCAGCGTGCTCATGTCCTCAGCAAACCCTGCTAATCCCAGCAAACCCCCTCCAGCCCTGGGATTTGGGAGGGAAAGTGACGTTTTAATAATGTTTACATGAAAAAAAAAAATACAGCAAAGTGCACACGTAGGTATGAATTGGAAACAGAGGAGTAATCACCAGTTATCCCTCCCTGATTTGCATCTCTGGGTTCAATTTAATTCCTGGCACCAAAGCTGAAAAAAATGCACCTGAACTGACTCATCTCCAACCTTCAGGCCATCACCAATTCTTCACTTTTTCACCTCAAAACCTTTGGAAGTTATTCTTGGGAACAGAAGCCATTAAAAACCGTCCCTGTCCAGCTCTCCTGGAGCCCCTCGAGATCCTGGAAGGGGCTCTGAGGTCTCCCTGGATTTTCCCAGCTGCAGGTGAACATTCCCAGCTCTCCCAAGGCAAACCAGGAGCTGCTGACACAGAGCTGCAGCCCGAGGGACACAAGGGACACTTGTGTGTGACCCAAGAACACAGATCCTCTTGTGTTGGGAAGGTAGAATTAGAAAGAAATTATAAATGTGATTTTGTAGCCAGAAAGGCTAAGGAAGAAATACAAATGATAGCACGGTTTGAATAATTCAAAGAAACCAACCAGGCTGGTATGCCGCAGCTTGGAAATCCAGAGGTGAAAAGTTTGGAGCTCTTCACCCCCAGTGCAGGGTCACAGTTGAATGAATTATGGCCAGTAAAAAAAAACAAAACCCATTTTGTATTTAAATGAAAGAGTCTTATCAATGAGGTTTCTGATTCTTTTAAGACAAACCATCATCCAGATGTGCACACAACTGGCTGCATCACCCTGCAGGGAGCACCAGCCAGGGAAGGCATTTCCAAAAGTTCAGTCCCTGCACTGAGCTGTCTCCTTCAAGGAACAAATGGGGCTCAGAAAGAGCCAATTTTTCAGGCACATCCTCCATCAACTCCCAAGTGAACCAATGCCTTTAGGTCAGTGAGTCTCAATGTGCAGTGATGAACACTTAATCATCTTCTTCTGAAAATGTCATTTAGCATCAGAAAGAAAAACAATATTTAGCTTCCCAACAAGCTGCATCATGAGCACAGAGTGACTGAGGCTGGAAAAATCCTCTGAGTCCATCCAGTCCAGCCATCCCTGAGCACTGCCAAGGCCACCCCTGACCATGTCCCCAAGTGCCACATCCACAGGGATTTTAAATTCCTTCACCAATGGGGACTGAACCCTGCCCTGGGCAGCTGGGCCAGGCCTGGAGAGGCTTTTTGAGGAAGGAAAATTCCCAATTTCCACCTGAATCTCCCCTGGGCCAGCTGGAGCTGTTTCCTCTTGTCCTGTCCCTGTTCCCTGGGAGCAGATTCCGACATGGAGTGGCTGCACTCCATGGAATAGCTGCCATAAAATATAAAATAAAATATAAAATATAAAATATATAAAATATAAAATATATAAAATATAAAAATATAAAATATAAAAAATATAAAATAAAAATATAATATATAAAATATAAAATATGAAATATGAAATATATGAAATATAGAATCTATAAAATATAAAAATATAAAATATAAAAATATAAAATATAAAATATAAAAATATAAAATATAAAAATATAAAATAAAAAATGAAATATATTAATATAGAATATATAAAATATAAAATATAAAATATATAAAATATAGAATATATAAAATATAAAATATAAAAATATAAAATATAAAATATATAAAATATAAAATATAAAATATAAAATATAAAATATAAAATATAAAATATAAAATATAAAATATAAATGGCATTTGGGGGCTTTGTGGCACTGCCAGTGCTGCTATTTCAGGCCTACACAGCAATTAGGACACTGGAGTGATCTACTTTCTGGGGAAAAATAATAATGAGGCTATGCAGCCTTATCAGCAGGATATTTCCTTGTCCATATTTAGCTAAATAGGGAATGTAGAAACAATGTGCAAAAATAAACCAGTGTAACTAAGAAAAGGCATTTTAAATACAGCACTGGTGCCTCAGACACGCAGGAGCACCCGGCACAAACTGCAGGGATCCCTCCTCAGCCCAGGTGGGCTCCAAGGACAGCCACAACACCCCTGGGAATTCTCCTTTTCCCTCTCTGGTGTTACAGCAGCCAAAGGACACCAATTCCCAGCTTCCCAGGGCTTGTCTGCTAACAAAGGCAAGAGGAAAATGAGGATAGTGCAAGGATTGTGCCCAAGGGTAAAGAGCAAATCCTGGAGCATTTTCATGTGCTGAGCAGCTCAGAGAGAGACAGATGCTCCCAGCCCCATTTCCATTCATACAGAACAGAGCTGGCTGGGAAGCAAAAAGAATCCTCAGCAAGATGTACCTAAATCCCCTGCCTCCACAGCTCTGAGATCAGAGCTCAGCAGAGCACAGGGAAGATGAATCCTGACACTCACCTTGGGATGAAAGGGAGAAACTGAGGAGTGACAGAGATTTCTGAAGGCAGAGGTTTAAAAATGCACTGAAATTCCTTCCTGGAACTGCCCAGGGAGGTTTGGAGTCCCCATCCCTGGAGGTGTCCAAGGAATTCCTGGCCATGGCACTCAGGGCTGGGGACAAGGTGGGGCTCAGTGGGCTTTTCCAGCCTGAGGGATTCAGGGATTCTGAGGAATTCTCCAGCAGTGGAACAGCTGTGAGGTCCTGGTGGTTGTTAAATAGGCAGAGGGAGTGGAGCAGCCAGCCCTGGGGTGACACCAACTCTGGGTCTGAATCCAGAACAGCCTCCCAGGACAGCCCAGCCCTCCCTGGCAACACCAAAGGGAAGAGTTTGCTCCAAGGAAAGGTGTGGAAGGAGCAGGGAGCAGTGCCACAGCTGCACTGCAGCCAAGGAGAAGGGCATTCCTGTAGTGACACATTCCAGGAAATCTTCAAATTCCCCCAAAGCACATCAATCATGTTCCTTTAAGTCACACATTATTTTTACTCAGGAGGATTGTTTAGATCTCTCCTGTTCCAGGCACAGCTGATCTGTTACACTCAGGGTTTGCTCCATCTGTTCTTCTCCAGGCTCAGAAGCTCTGTGTACTCAGTGAGTAACCTGTTTGTTGGGATCAGTAAAATCCATCTCTCCTCAGCTAATCTGAAAGATGCAGCTGGGTTATTTTCATCCCTCACCCACATCACAGACCCTCCATCCTGGTTCTTCCAAAGAGTTCCAACTGGAAATGTCCCAGAAGAGTTTGGGTGGAAAGGACCTCAAAGCCCACCCAGTGCCACCCCTGCCATGGCAGGGACACCTCCCACTGTCCCAAGGTGTTCCCAGCCCTGGCCCTGGGCACTGCCAGAGGCATCACCAACTCCTCAAGGTATCAAGAACTTCTCTTCAGCAATTTCCTCACCCAGGTTTTACTTCAAGCGACTCCTGGAACAACTTCCCAGAGCCACCATCCCACCAAGCACCCTCTGGAAAAGGAGGCAAATCAAACCCTGCACGTGCCACAATCTCCAGTTTCCCATCCAGGGAAGAGTGGAATTTATTTCCTGAACTTTCTGCTTCCATTTTGCAGCTTCCCTGACTGCTCTGCTGTGTTCCTGCCTCCAGGAGTTCCAGGTTATGATCGGTCTGACCCAGGTTTGGAGTCTTGTCTGAAGACAGAGGAAGAGGAGAGTGGGGATGAAAGCTGGACATTGTCCCAACAGAACCACCCTCGGTGCAGGACCCTGCCTTGTCCCCCTGGCATTTCTGGCTGAGGGAATGC